CTCGGCCTGTTGTTACAGCAGCAGCAACAGCTGATGGCCAGGGACCTCTTCGACAGGCTGTGCTCTAGGTGCTAGTACTGGGCTATCCCGTCTCCCCCCCCAGCTCCTTTTCCTAACTGGCTAAGTGACTTGCCCAGGGTACTCAGCTGGGGGAGCTGGGGTTACTTGACTCCAGAACTTTAACCACTCAATCCCTCATGAGGTGAAGTAGTAGAATAGCCAGTGGGCGAGTGGTATCATTTGAACATGCTTATTGTGGAATCACCAGAGCTTAGATTTGTTTTCAGTCACAAGCTTTATTTTGAAATGTCAGCCAGAATTAACAGAAGGCAGGGGTTTTGTCCCTCCAAGCCAGGGCCAGAGGTTAGAGGTTGGGGATCTCTCGCCAATCAGCTGATACCTCTGCTGAGTGAACTGGGCTGAACTATGACCCTCCACGCCCCCATAGAGCTGTGTGTGCCCAGCACACTGACTTCCGCGAGGGTTGACAATGGTGCCCAGGAAGCTGGGTGCGCTGGCATATCATACGCCATATTGAATGTACCTGAGGTCCAGAGGAGAGGTTGGGAACGCGTGTGTAGATACTGGCCCAGGTGGGAAGGGGAGGGTACTTGGTACATGTCAGCTGTGATGGGAACTGGGGAGAGCTGTTTATTGGACACCCACCTACCTCGGTCCACTTCTTATAATAGTCTTCTGATGGGGCGCAGATTCAATAGAGGTTAACCCGGTAAGGAAGGGGCCTAGAAGTAGCTCTGACGCAGAGCTGTATGACTTCAGCCCCGTACCAGAACCGCTCGTTTGCAGGCAAGTCTAGTACCCCTCTTCATCCCCATCTGATGGGAACAGGCGAGTTGCTCCTTTGCTCCCCTCCCTCTTTCTGGGACTGAAGCAGTCTGCGTTCTTTGCAGCAGCCTGTGTCGTCCTGGTCACTTCTTTGGATCCATGCCAACTCTGTGATGAGTCAGAGGGGCAGCAACTTACCCTGTCCTGGTGGTGATAACCATCAGTCATCCCCGAAGTTTCCCAGGTGGCTCCCGCCTCTGTCCAAGAAGCTGGAGGAGGGGGCTCTGGCCTGCAGGAGGTGCCGGGAGGGGGACGAGGGATGAAGATTCCAACAAGGACAAGAAACTCAGCCAATGATCGTGCCATCCAAACTCAGTGGGCCTGGAACCCTAGTCTCTGTCAGAGCCCACCCTCAGCACCCTTCCCCACTCCGAGTGGCACGGCCACACTGCCCTGGGGGTGGCAGGCTCCAGAGGCTGCACAGCATGGAGGTTTGGGAGTTGGCCCTGCCACGCTCCACCTTTGATGTTGACTGGCTAGCCTCAGGCCCCACTGCAGGCCTTAGAGGGCTGGGCTGTGAGGAGAGCCAGGAAACAGCTTTGTGAGGACCCTCCGGAGAGTCCTGCTTCAGACTCTGTTGGCCTGTGTGCCACGGCAGTCAGTTTCCTGCAGTTCCCTAGTCACAGGTCCCCCTCTGCCGGAACTGCAGAGGAAAGAGTTCATCTAATGATTGTGCCAGGGTCCAGGTTTGATGTCCAAAGCCAGGGGTGGAGCAGCCCCCCCCGACCCCCACCTGTGTGCAGGGGCCTGATAGCTGTCTGTCACAGGGATGCGGCCCAGCCTTCTCAGCACTCCTCTGGAGCAGAGACTGAGCCTCTAGGTGGATGGAAGATACCGCTAGTTGAGTGAGAGAGTTCAGCTTTGCCCACCCAGAGACAGTGCTGCTCTGTGGGGGTGAGTGCTGGGCTGGGCCGGGCTTCAGCCGTGCGGTGAAGTAAATAGAGACACAGGCAGGGCTGGAGTGGGCGACTCCTGGTGGTGATGCTTCTTCCCTCCTCTGGGCCTCAGCATCCTTATCCATAAAGTAGGGACAAGCCGTGGAGAAATCGAGGTGCTGCCTTCTTGGCCTGTGGTGGCTTGGTCCCCTAGCCCAGTGCTCAGTGAGCCATAGGGGGTGGGGTGGGTAGGTGGTTGCCGTGTGCTGCTGGGTCCTGAGAGGGCTTCCCCCACACGGAGGGCTTCCCATAAGAGGCTGTGCCTGTCCCTTTCCCAAGACATGCCAAAGTGGCTTCAGTTTTGGCAGGAGGCCTGCGAGCTTGAGCGCTAGGAGGGTAAGGAGAGGTACCCAGTTAGGTGAGGGCAGGGCTTTGGCCACTAAGGCTGATGACTGTATGTGGAATTGGTCTAGATTCCAGCAGGAGGTGGGGGTGGGCACATTGGGAGGGCCTTGTCTGGGGTCTGGGCTCCCTCCAGTTGCTGAGTTGAGCCGATAAAGCCCAGAGGAGGCACCTCCTGGTCCAGGACTTCCAATCTGTGGCCAGACTTGTCCCGGGCCCTTTCTGCCTCCCTGGGTACCATCTCCCCAGCCTGCCGGCCTCGGGCTCTTTCTCCTCCTGGTGCTCTACCTTGGCCTTCCAGGTCGTGGGTGTGCTCCTTGAGGGCAGGACTCATGTTGGAGTAGGCTCTGGGCTACATGCATGGCCAGCCCCTGCCAAGGTGCCTACAGCCCAAGCTGGACTTGCTCCCGTGCAGGTGCCATGGTGGGATGGGGGCGGGTGCTGATGTGGACTCCATGGTTCCTTGTGTCTCGTTTCCTCATCCCGGCTGGCCCAAGGCTTGGGAACAGTGGCCGCCTTTCTGCGTGTGCTGTCAGGAACCGTTCGCTCTTCAGCAGACCGGGGTCCTTCTCTTAACCTAGAGAAGGCCCCGGGTTATTGGTGTTGTTCTTGGCGGTCCACCGGGCCCCGCAGCAAACAGGGAGGTGAGTGTGCACCCGGCCTGGACCTGTTTGTGTTGGCCTTGCCAGGCGGGGGATTAGCTCAGCTGGGCTGCTAATTGCCTTCGAAGTGCCGGCCGGGAGGCTGACAAGGGCTGGACCCCTAGTCCCCTCCTTCCCCAGCAGGCACAGTGCCAGGCTTGGGGGCCTGACCCAGGAGGGGCCCCAGTCTATCCCATCAGCGCTGGCTTGGTCTAGAAGCTTGGGATGCAGGCAGGGGGGGGTCACCAGGCTGGTAGCTTAGGAAGGGGGTGGTGGTGGTGGGATTCCTATGAAGTCATTGCTTGGGCCAAGCCAGGCCACCTTCCCCATGCCCCTCCTCCACATCCTTGAGAGCCCCCTTCCCTCCTCCTGAATCAGACTCCACTTACCTCACACCTTCCAAAGCTCAACGCTTTCTCCTCTTACTGGGAAGTTGCTGGGTGCCTCTGCCCAGATGGTCCTCTGCCTCCTTCACTGCCCCCCAAGCCCCGCAGTCTGCCTGTCGGCCTCCCTCTGTCCTTCACGCTCTTCACAACCCCATCATCCCCTCCTCCCCTTGCCTTCCTGTGTCCTGTCGCCCTCCCTGGGCCCAGGGGCCCCAAACTGGTGCTCCTCAGAACAAGGTCATGGGGAGAGTTCTCCAAGAACTCTGCAGGCTAAGCACAGGGTGATGTCAAAGATGGAGCCCTTTGTGTGCCTGCCCACCCCAGGAGCCCACCTCAGTCCCCGCTGAGCTTCCCAGGCCAAACCCCTCAGACCCTGCCTCCAGTTCCGGCCCTCCCTTGATGGAGCCCTCCTTGCTCCGTGATTCCCACAGTGGGACCAGAGTTTAGCTGGTGCGTAGGGGCTGCTGCTTTGGCATAGCTTGCTTATTGCTTCAACAGCACCCCCACCCCCCACCCCAATCCTGAGTCTCTGTTCTCCTGCTTGGAGATTTCTGCTCCAAGTGATTTGCCTGCTGCTGCTCTTGGGGGTGGGTCCAAAGTGAGATCGCAGTGTGGAGAACCTGTCTCCAGCTCCTAACCTGCGCCACACCATCTCTGTTCTTGTTCTAACCCTCCTCTTCCCAGCCCCCATCACCTCAGTGCTAGCTTAACGCTCTCCTAAACTCCTGAAAAGGGAACACTTAGAATATTTATCACAGCTACCATTTAGTGAGCTTTGTGTGATCAGTCCACATCTCCAAGAAGTAGCGTCTAGGATTGTTTAGCTCCTTTGAAAGGGAGCGGGGAGATGTCCATGTCGCCGGTGGAGGAGCCCTGAGAGGGAAAGGTTTCCATTTGGAAGGAAGGTGCTCACTGGCACTCAGAGCCCGGCTCCTTTTCACGGTCTAGGAAACGATGGGCGAGGACTTGACCACCCACGCACACCCCACTGCTTGTGCCCGCCACCATTCCTCTTCCCTAGTGGTTGTGCTCTAAACCCATCCCGTTGCCCTGGCCCCGCCTCCTGCGTGTTCACTCTATCCCTTGCCCCCCACTCCCTCATTCTTCACAAACTCGTGTGTCCCCTGCCATCCTGAAAGCACTTCACTGCAGCCCTCTTCCCACCCTCCCTCAATTGTTAGAAAGCACAGCTTCAGGTAACTGGTCTGTAGGGGCTGGAGGTGGGTGAGGATTAGAATGTCACCTAACTAGACTGCAGGTTCTGCGAAGCCACCCTGACAGTCTCCCCACCAGCAGGGTGCGCCCTTGACTGTACCTTCTGGCTGGAAGCCTCTGAGAGGAGTCCCACTGCCCTTGAATGGCAACCCTCATGGGACGCTTGCCATCCAGGCTCCTCAGCCTGACGAGGCTCAAATCCTGGAGTCACTTCTAGTCACAGGCCTTGGGCCCTGTGTCTGTCCTTGGGCAGGATGATGAGGGGCTTCACAAGTTTGTAGAAAAAGCGGATGGAAAGAGAACGGACTTTGTGAAGCCTGACCTCTTTCCTAGACCCAGTCGGGGACTGCATTTGCCACACTCAGCGCAGCAGCACTCAGGCCAGGTCCAGAGAGCTGACCACTCGCACGTGGCTCAGGGAGATGCAGGCCGTGCACGCGAGTGAGCGTGCGTGCGTGCTTGTGTGTGTGTGTTACTGGTGGGTCCCTGTGCCGCGCCCCCTCCCCCCCGTAAACCAGTAGTCATTTCAGGAGGCACCTGGGCCTCCATACACAGAAGTTGCTGTGGGCAGCTCTCTCCACGTTCTTTCTCAAGTTCCTCTCTCCTACAAAGAAGGCACTGCCACAAGAGCCAGATAAAGAAATAATCATTTTATCGTGCATCAGACTGTCACGGGGAGGTCACAATGGCAGCAGCCTAGTATCAAAACTGGACAACGAGATGGGGGCGCAGATGAGTAGCAGCATCCGGAGGAGCTGGGGCCTGTCCAATCCTCCACCTCAGAGGGCACAGTCTTCACCTTGGGGCAAGACTAGGCAAGAGGGCTTCAGACAGGCCAGGGTTCCCTCCGGCCAGCTTCTCGAACCCTGTGGGCCCAGGAATGAGTGGGCAGTGACGAACCTCTGCCAGGCCTGCGCCTCCTTTATTGGAGCAGTTTGGAGCTGGTTGTGATCAAAGTAGCGCCACTTTCCTGGGACTGTCGATGCCTTTGGGGAAGTGGTGGAAAGGCTAGCAGTGGGCAGAAGTTCCCAGAACTGGGTGTGATTCTCCTAGGTCTCAGCCCTTCAGAACCCCAGGAGGATGCATTTTGAGCAGTCCCCAGCAGGCTCACCACTACACGCCAGCCTGGACTCCTCTCTCTCAGCTCTGGGATGACAGGGTGGTGGCCCTGTTCTCTGGAGTAGGGCGGGAGGCTCCTAATGCGTCCTTTGGGTTTGGCTCTTGCAAGTGAGGAGTTGTGGGTGGAAAACCAGCCGAATGAGCCTGTTCGAGCCGCGGTGGTCCTGGCTAGGCTGCTCCCGGACACTTGGACAGCTCAGCTTTCATCCCCATCTGAGCTGGCCTGCCTCAGGATGACCCCACACTCGGCTGCAGCATCTCACTTGCTTCTGGCCTCCTTTCTGGATGGACATTGAACAGAGAGCTTGGCTGCGAGCCCAGGGTTTTGACCTCTCCATGAGCGAGCCAATACCAGGAGGCACAGACCACAGGTCTGGGGGAGTTTCTGCAGACCAGAGCCATATTCTGATCCAGGGACTTTGAATCCAGACACCGAATGCTGGAGCCAAGAGCTTGAGGTCTGGGAACCCCTAACGGGGAACCCAGCGCTCCAGACCTCAGACTGGATAGGGCCTGAGCAGGAGCCTTGGATAGCGAGCTCCTTGGTGATGAAAGTCCAACTGGGAAGTGGCTGGGTCAAGGGCCAGGCCTTGCTCTGCCCATGTTCTGCTCACACAAGTCTGGGCCAGGCTTCTGAGAGTTTGGTTGGGACACAGGGTTAGGCCCAGGCTGCTTGTGCTGCCCCTCAGGGGCTCTTCAGTTCCCGTGGAACCTTGAACCTCAGTTGCCCACTTCCCTAGTCTTCCAGCGGGAAGTCTCATTCCTCAGGGCCTGTCCGCTGCCGTGCCCTCACCCACCAGCCAGAACCCCCACTCCACAGCTCAGACCCAAAGAGCCTGCAGCTTCTGGGCCTGGGCCTGGAGGCCATGTGGGGGTCTCCTGCGGTATAGCCTTGTCATCTACCTCACTGTGACCTGGATAGTCAAAAGTTTCCCCCTCAACTATAAGACGGGTACAAGCAGCCCTGCTTCTGTCTGCCTCCCAGGTTGGCTGTGAACATCAAATGAGATGGTCCCATCCCCAGCTTGCAGCCAGTACGTGTGTGGAGGGGCTGGAATATGGCTGGGGAGAAAGGTGCCAGGCCTTTCTTCTGTGCGTGCGCACGCGAGTCTGACTCCCTTCCTCAGTCTCAAGGCGGAGCAGTGCTGTGAGAGCAGCTCTCGGCGCCGTAGAATCCCACTGGGATCAGCTCTTCCCAGGAGGGGCGAGGTTGGTGATGCCCACTTTGAGGAGGTCCTGGAGTGGGGAGGCTCTGGGTGGGACTGTAGCTTCTCTTACCCTCACCTCCTGCCCCGCTGCGGGGGGAGGGGAGGGGGCCTGGAAAGTCCCCTGCCCCCCACCCGCAGAGCTCTGACCTCTTGTCACTGCCCCCGTGAGGGCTGAAATGAGCCCTGCATCCTAGACCTGGTATCTGCGAGTTCCCTTTGCAGCCCAAGCAGCTGGGAGCGTGTGTGTATGAGTGTGTGGGGTGGGGAGGGTTGTGGGCAGGTGGTGGTAAAACTCCCATGGTGACAGCCCTGATCAGGGCCACCGCCCTCCCCTAGTAGGCAGGGCCAGTCACCTTGTGGCTGTCACTCTCCTTGTTACCTACCTTAAGTCTGCAAGTAGAAAATTGGGATAACAAGAAGTGGTCAGCAGCAGCCCAGGGTGACAGCCAGAGGCTGCTCTTTGGTCAGTGGCAGCCACAAAGGCCTAGGCTTCAGACATACCCTGGTTGGTGACCTCGGGGTCGCCTGCCTGGTTTCGGCAATAAATAACATGAGGACCCAAAAACCAAACCAAAACAAAAAATACAACCAGTATCTTTCAGGGCAGGTGGTGGGTGAAGGACTGTTTAAATTACCGGCCTCCCCCGGAGCCACTGGGTGGTTGCTGGGCGCGTGGCCGGGCCTGGAGGTCATCGGCACGTGTGCAGCTCCACAAGCCGCTGGCACTGGCGGCACTTGACGAAGCAGCACCAGTGGAACTTGCAACTGCAGCGTTCGGCCAGCTCCACCTGGGCTGTGTGGAAGCCGCGGCCGCAGCACAGCAGCTCGCAGCCGTCGATGGCCTTGGACGTCTTGTTGCAGGTGCGGCCTCTCGTGCCCAGCACGCCGCTGCGCATGTCCTGCTCACAGAAGTCCGGGCTGGGCTCCAAGTACACCAGGTCCTCGTCGGTATGCGGCTTGAACTGGGCGTTGCGTGGCACCAGCGCCCTGGAGGAGCCCACGCGGCGTGGCTCCACCTCCGTGGCTCCGTCGAACTTCTCCTTCAGCGCATGACCCACCTGGCGGAAGGGGGGCACGGCCCGCCAGCACGTCTTCACCTCACAGGAGCCAGATACCCCGTGGCACTTGCACTCCACCCGCATGTGTGTCAAGATGGCCTGTGGGGCGGGGTGGGGGGGAGGGGAGGCAGAGGAGAGGTCAGGGGAGACAAGGAGGGGCGGGGCCCTGGACCCCGGGGCTGCAGGAATCCTCTGCATTGGCACTCGCACCAGCTGCCAGCCAGTGGCTTCCCACTCCTGCGACCTCATTCCTGACTGAGGGTTGGAGATGACCAGGTCTTCCGCCCAAGGCTCCCCGGGGTGGATTCAGAGCCCCAACCCCTGATACTCGAGGGCTCTCCGCAGTAAGCCCCCCTGTGTGCCACAGGCAGTGCTGGAACAGGGATGTGGCCCACTGCCCTCAGGGTGTCTTCCTGGGGACCCAGAAACACCTATTCTGACAGCAGATGTGACCTTTACCGTGGCACACAAAAAAGGGGTCACATCCTGACTCATCATTCGGTGGGGGGAGTCGTGTATGACTGCACTGACACACGGGCGGTGAGCAGGCTGCGCCATGGAGGGAACAACTGAGGTGTTGGAGTCAATAAAAAGGAGGAGATAGCGATCCGGGCAGGGGGGAGGGGAGGGTGTCGGAGCAACAGCAAACTAGTTAAGAGGAGGTACCAAGAGGCAGAGATAAGGGGAAAGTGGCAGTGGGGCAGGGGGAAGGTAAGGGAAGCAGGAAGGACCGAGGAAGCAAAGCAATGGTAGAGGTATAAACATAGCGGTGTCCACATGTAAATGCATTAATCCACACAAATAGGGGTGTTGGCCCATGTACATATATTTATACGCAATACACTGAGGTAAGTGATGGACTTTGGGCCTCTGCTCAAACCCTCCCTCAACACAAGAACACTTTGTTTTGACCAATCAGCAGTCTGAGATGTTCACCTTCCCAACACAATCGCTGAAGACAAAACGGGTGCATAAGCAAATCTGGTGAAGAGGGCGCGTGGTGGCCCGGCTATTAAAATATTTGGCATCTGGGGTCTTAAAGGCTTGAAGTTACAACACAAGCTGCCGTTCAGCAGTGAAGCAAGTCCACATTGAAGAAGCACACCACCGGTGCGATCATGAGGCATAGGGACCAGGTGATAGGCATCAGCAGACACATAACAAACAAAAACATTGTTGAGAACAAGTGGGGCTGGAGCGGAGATCAAAGCCCATCTGTAGATAGTGGAACAATCTCCCCACAGAGGGCCCACAGGGAGGGGATGAGTCACCAGGGTGCAGTAAAGCATGGATGAAACACTATATTCCTCTGGTTCCTTGAGGCTTCTTTACACCCACCCCCACCCCCACCCCCGCACTACCATGACTCCAGAGCTGCTTCCCAGTTCAGACTAGACATGTACACAGGCATAGAAAGGGATGGGAGCACATGGCACACAGAATCCAGGAGTGGGAATGATGATGCCGGAAGGGAAGGGGTAAGGGGGAGAGGAAGGGAGAAAGGGGGAACTGATTTCAATGGAGAAATTTTAAAAGGCTGGTACCGATGACTCATTAGAAAGTAAATGTCTAGAAGAGAATGAGGGCAACATATGTACAAACATGCCTGATTCAATTGATGTATGGATTGTACGAGCCCCCAATGATTTTTTTAAAAAGATGATAGAATTTTTACATGAACTTCTTGAAGCCTGAGCATCTATATGGTAGGAGGGCGTCATGCCCTGCGCTGGGGGCTGTCCACTCGGCTCTGTGCCTCTCACTCACCTGGCTGCTTCTATGAGCCCAAGTCTCCCCGGTGTGCCCACTACCCGGCAGAGTGCCCGCTTAACAGGTGCCTGATACTGATTGGAGGCTGAGCAAGTGCTGCCCAAGTGGCTGGGGAGGGGAGCTGTGTGCCTTCCCCCCAGTGGTGATGGGCGCCAGTACCTTCCTGCCGGCCTCATTGTTGTGCAGGTTCATGAGGGCCCGGCTGGACGAGGCCCCCTTGCTTCTCTCCCGCACATCCACGAACGACTGTGAGAAGGCCACGCCGTAGGCAATGTTGTCTGAGCAGCCTGACCACTGGAAGCCTGAGGGGGTGTGGGGGGGGTGCACAGAGGAGGGCCACTCTGGTCAGCGCCAGGACCAGAGCCCTGTCTCTGCTCAGACCAGTGGCCCCAGCCAGCCTGCTGCACTTACCCTGGGGGCTGACCCCATGTACTGTACGGTCACAGCCACACTTTTCCAGCTCCCCACTGCTGCACGCACGCGTCACTGCAAAGGCCACCCCGGCTGAAGAGATGGCATACACGAAGGCTGCCTCCCGAGTCCCTGCGGAGGAAGGACAGGCACTGAGGGTGGCACAGCCTCCTGAGAGATGGACGGGCACTGAGGGTGGCACAGCCTCCTGAGAGATGGACGGGCACTGAGGTGGCACAGCCTCCTGAGAGATGGACGGGCACTGAGGTGGCACAGCCTCCTGAGAGATGGACGGGCACCGAGGGAGAGCGGGACTCCCCCAGGCCAGGCCTGGTGCTGGCACTCACCATGCCAAGAGCAACCTGTGCACTCGCTGAGCACCCAGCCCTCCCCACCACCCTGTTGGAGGGGAGGGGAGGGCGCAGGGCGGGGCCGTCAGGCTCTCTGGTGCTGGGGGATGTGGTCATTGCACACTCCTCTTGGTGAAATGGAACAGCCAGGAGAGGCGAGCCGACCTCCTGAGGTGGCAGGGCTAGACACTAGGACGGAGCAGCCACGGAGCATCAGTCATTGTTTCTGACTGGTCACGACTAAAAGACAGGGTGGAGCTGCTCCACTGCATGTACGAGGCTGTGAATCTATGGGAGTAGACAGCCTCATCTCTCCCCAGGATCAGCAGGGGTTAAATGGCTCTCCTGCTGGTAAGCAGCCCAGCGCCTCTCCCACAGCGACACCAGTCTCCTCTGAACCCAGTTTCCCAGGAGACCTCATGGGGTTCGCAGGGAGGTCCCCCAGCTCTGTCTCAGGTCCCCACCTGAGGTAGGTAGTTTATTGTGCCAACCTGACCGATAAACCCATGTGGAATTAATTGAAAGGCAGAGAGATAAATGGCTCCGCGAACCTCGCCTTTCTTGTCTCTTGCTCTTTGATCATCGGACCAGTGTGCGGCTGCCTTGCTTGTTCTGTGCCTCAATTTGCAAGCTACACTACCTGTGGGACACCAACCCGTGAACTGTGTCGCTGTCATTTGAGGCTCCTACAAGACCTGCTTCGTCACACCATTGGAATTTACATCTCTTGGTTGGGGACTGTCGGACCCTGTCATCTGGCTGACAGTTGGTGACCTGCCTTACTGTTTGCTGCCTGTGTGTGGTTAGCCTGAATTGCTCTACAGAGGACTACCTGGTGGCCCTCAAGACTTGAAGGACTGCCAGTGTCTCACAACTGCCTCACGGGAGTGAGTTGCACTGAGCCATTTGTACTGCTTTATAATTTAATTCACTGTTTATTTCTTATGTTATATAGCTATCTGTATAAATATATATATAAAATTATTAACAATTTGGTTTTGTCTCTCGAGAGAACCCTGTTTAACAAACCACCCTTCCTCCAAACATGCCATATGTTTCCTTAACCTTGACGAGTAAACCATCGCGTCACCAAACTGCAGACGGAGAATGCTGACATGGTAAGTACTGCACACATGGTAGGTCATAGCAGAAATCATAGTAACACCAGCTCCTGGCACAGGGATGGCTGGCTATCCTGTGCCTCTCCGCTTCCTGGGAGAAAGAAAGGCTTTCTACTCTCCTAAAGAGCTGCAGAGGAGCCCTGGTGGCATAGTAGTTAAGCATTGGGCTGCCATCCAGAAGGTTCACAGTTTGAAAGCACCAGGCACTCCTTGGGAGAAAGACAGGGTTTTCTACTCCGTGCAGAGTTACGGTCTCGGAAGTCCACAGGGGCGCTTTTCCCTGGGCTGCAAGGTCGCCTGGCATCGGCACTGACTTGGAGGTGGTGAGTCTGGAGGATCCAGGGTGCCTCTCGGGCATGACCTCCACTACCAGAGCTTTAGCCCAATTCACAGGTGCTACAGCGAAGGCTCAGAGAGTGAGAGCCAGGACTCCGGCACAACCGACTGCCTCTGCCTCCTGCTCGCTCCCTTCGACCCATGGCCACTCGGGGATTCTATTTTGGGGCCTGCCTGACCACCGTCTCCCTCCTGAATGGGCGTTTTTATCCTCCAAGCAACTGTGCCTGGTAGAAGGGGGCCTTGGGGGTGTGGTGCTTTGCGGCTGTGGAGATGTGCAGGGGAGTTTGTGTGCAGTGCATGTTCGAGTGGCCGGCTGGGTGTGTGTCAGACAACCCTGCTCACCCCCCCACCCCCACGGGCCCTGTGAGGACCTCTGTGTGCCCGTGACTGTCCTTCTGTCTCTTGCTGGAGTGGCTGTGTCCACAGGAGTGCGGGGGGGCAGGTTTTGGCCCCGTGGTTGGCAATTACCTCTGCGACACCCAGGCCTGTGCTCCGGGCTGCCCCCAGGAGCAGAGGCTACAATCACCTCCTCTGTGTCCGAGTCTGCGGACAGAGACAGCAGGAGCCAGCGCTAGGGTGGGAGGCAGCTCGGTCCCCGGCGACGTGGGACACCCTGTCCTTGGTCCCAGCCAGGACTGGGGACACTGCCCACACCCCTGTCTCCACGACTCAGGCCGGGCCTGGCCACTTTGGGCCGGCACCCGGGCCTTGGCTGGAGCCCCGGGGTCTTGACAGCCGGAGATGGCGTCTTCTCCAAGTTAATAGCAGGATCATGTTGGTTGGTTTTGTGCTGTGGCCGCCCGAAGAGAGCCGACTTCAGTTTCTGGTATTTCTGGTATTTCCAGGCCTGAACCAGCACACGTCTTTGCCCCAAAGACCACGGGGGAAGGGCAGTCCAATCAGGAGGTAAGGCCGATGGACTGTGGGGCGGTCCCCGACTCTGGACCCTGCATGGGCCTTGTCCCTCTGCTTCTCGGGGCTCATGGGTACACCCTGGCTCTGGGCTGACCTGCTCCCTCAAGTACTCGTCCTAGGGGTGCAGGACCTTTGTGAGATTGCTCAGGGGGACTCCTGGTCCCCTTCCCCCACCTGGGAGGCAGAGCAACTTGCTCCCAAAGACACAGTGAGAACGTGATGGAACCAGAACTGAAACGTGATTGAGCAGTGTGCCTCCAGGGCTTTATCCTGTCCCCCGGAAGCCCGAGCCCCCATGGAGATACATGGACTACCCTAAAGCCCACTTCCTTTTCTGGGTTCGTCACTAGACTTTCGAGTTCAGCCCAGGAGGTTCCAGAGGCCCAGACCTTGTGAGCAAGCGACCTGGTTCCTGAAGCTGGCACCAGGGACTTCTCCAACCTTCCCAGAGCTTTCTGGTCCCTGCCCTGTGACCCCAGAGCTGCCACCGGGGCCCAGGCTTCGGCCTGCTTGCTGCCAGGGCCTGCTGTCCCCTGAGGCTGCGCAGACAAAGGGCTGTGCTTCTGGGAGTGTCCACAGGGGGACCAGGGAGTTGACTGCCCCTGGTGAGGAGGGCAGGGCTCACACTGTCCTATCCTGGGGCGGCAGTGCGGGCGGGGCTGGGGGAAGCCCTCTCTATGGGGCAGGAGATGGCCTACAATGCTGTTTCCTGTCCATAGGCCACGCTCACACTTCTCCACCAAGCTCTGTGCCTCCACGGTGTGCCTGTCCCCAAGCAACTCATGGGACCACGTCCTGTGTGTTCTCTGGGCCTGGCTGCCATTGCCTTTTCTTCTCAGATGCAAGGCTGGGCTGGGGATGCAGGAATTAGCCATCCAATAACGGCCGCCCTCCTTTCTGAAGGCCACGGTGTGCCAGGCCCTCTCCTCAGGTGCCCAAGGCTGGTGGTCTCTGCTCTCCAGAGGAGGAAGGTGAGGCTCAGCGGGTGGCCAGGCAGGAACTGGAGCCCAGGCCTGCCTCACACAGGACCCATGCTCCCCTCTCCCACGGGTTGGAAGGAAGGACATTTAAACGGGAAGGAGTGTTTGGGGGAGAAGAGGCGGAGTCTGAGTCAGGTCGGCAAGGAGACCATGGGCATGGTGATCCTTGGAGTACCAGGGTGGGGGTCCTGAGGGAAGGGAGGCGACAGGTACAAGCCAGGTTGATCCAAGGCAGGTCCGGCTGGTGTTGAGTTGGCAGGGCGAGCCCAGGTTTCTGAGAGTGGCCTTCGTCTGTCCTCTTTACAGCCTGTCTCCAGACTGCCTCTCCAGGTTTCTGTGTCCTCTGCTCATGGGTTACAGTGGAGGCTCTGGAGCCAGTCAGATTCATGCTAGGCTCTTACCAGCGGTGCAACCTTCTTCTCTGAGCTTCTAAGGTGCTCCTGACCCAAGCCATGGTATTTTCAGTTGCCTATCAGCAAAGACGGGCAACGAAGAGGGAAGTCCAAAGAAGAATCGAGGCATTTGAACCAGGGTGCTGGCGAGGAATCTTGAAAGTGCACGGGCCTCCAGGAGAGCACACGGATCTGCCTTGGAAGAGGTGCAGCCAGCAAGCTCCTTAGAGGGGAGGGCCGCGGGACCTCGTGCCACATACTTTGGGCATGTTCTCATGTCCTCGGGGAAGGACACGGTGCTTGGTAGAGGGTCAGGGAACAAGAGGAAGCCTGTGGAGGGGATGGATTGATAAAGTGGCTGCAACACTGTGCTCGGTCAGTGACAACTGTGATGGGGCGCAGGGCCGGGCGGTGTTTCCTTCTGTTGTCCACAGAGTCCCTGTGCGTTACAACCAAGTCCAGCACCTAACAGTAGCCACAGCAACCACCAGGGCATGCTGCCCAGGAGGCCGCCCTGAGCTCTCCATCCACCGTCCTCTCGAACCCTCCACACCTCCCCGGACCCGGGCACTCTTGCAGACATGCCTGCCCCGTGTGCTTGGCACCGGGAGGTGGGCTTACCTTTCAGTTGTCCAGCATGTCTGGCCCCTCCAGCCAGGCCGGCCCACCTATGTCTCTCTGGGATCCACAGCTACTTGGGGGCGGAGCTGCACACTGGGAAGGAGCTGGACCGAGTTCTGCTCCTGGCACTGCCAGTGCCTAGAGGTGTGATTTCACTTGTCTTGATGAAATGGGGCCAGTATGAGGACCAACTCTGTAGTGGTCAGGAAGACTTAAGGACATAAAACAGGGTAGTGGCCCTGAAGTCCAGTGCCTGGTACATCGTAGGCCCTCAATACGCAGCAGCTGTTGTGACTGTTGTTGCTCTTTTATTCCTTTGCCACCCTGTCTGTTGGGAAGGGACACTGAGAGGGTTGTTAAGGGGGCCGCATGCTTGGCACTGCCCTTCTGGTGTGGCGCCCTCAGGACAGCATCTTCTCCCGCTCCCTCACCAAGCCGACTTCAGTAGGGCCCCCGAGGTGAAGCGTGCCCCCAGGGACTCCCAGTCCAGGGAAATGGCCGGGCTGCCCGTCCACTAGGTCTCCCGTGACTGGCTGATGGCACCAAAGGAAGTTCTCTCCCTTGCTGGGTCTGACGTGATGACCAGCCTGGTGTCCTGACAGTAAGGTGTCCTAGATGGCGTTGGGCCTCGTCTGAGCCCTCCTGTGATGGCCAGTGCACATGTGCATCCCCTCTCCCCCAACTAGTCAGAAGGAGGCCAGAGCCAGGTGGATGAAGGTAGGAGGCAACCTGTGGTGTATTGGGAGGGGGGCGGGGAGGATGATGCAAGAGACTTTGCTCACCTCCCCCACTTGTTCTACCCCTTGGGAGACCCACTCCGACATCCCAGTGCAGCTGCTCACTGCGACCTTGAACCTTCACCCAGTTCTTGACCTCCTGCCCTCAACCCCCTTGCATTCAGGCAGCAGGTGTCTTCTGGCTTGTCTCCTGCGTGCAGGTCAAGGCCCTGGGGGGTGAAAGCAGTGACTGGAACACAGAGCCCACCTTGTGTGGCCCTACGGCTCGCTCAGTCAGTTACTTTCACCCCTGTCCCCTCTCGGTGGACGTCGGGGTAGATGTTCAGCTTAGCGCACAGTTTCTTGGGCAGTGACACAGAGCCCTCAAGTGGTGGCCTGCCTTGGGCTGTGGGTGGGGAGCAGGTGGCCTCCAATACAGAGGGAGAGGATGAGGCACAGAGCTGGTGGCCGGGGCCTCCACATGCTGCCCATCCCGGGGCTGCCTGGCGGGGTCCTGGGAGGGTGAGGCAGCCCGTGCTTGCTGAGCGTCTCTGGATCCTCACTGGAATTCCAGGAGGCCGGCCCTGGGGTTGTCTCCATTTTACAGGAAGGAGGTCACAGAGGCTTAGAGAGGGCCTCTGACAGCTAGGAGGTAGCAGGTGCAGGACCCAGGACCAGCCTACTTGCTGAGTCTCCGTTTCGGTGCACTGTGGGGACAGCAGTGCGATCTGTAGTGCTCGTGGGGATGGTTGGAGGTGAGACAAGTTGGAGGTGAGGCCCTTTCTTCTCAAAAGGAGCCCTGGCAACTACGTGTTGGGCTGCTTACTGCAAGGTCAGCAGTTCGAAACCACCAGCTGCTCTCTAGGAGAAAGACGAGGTTTTCTACTCCCGGAAAGAGTTACAGCCTTGGAAGCCCATAGGGGCAGTTCTACCCCGTCCTATAGGGTTGCTATGAGTCGGCCTCCACTCATGGCAGTGAGTTTAGTTTTTGGTTTTCTCTAAGGAGTAGCTAGGCACTAACTGGAATTGAAAAGCTTGCCTCTTGAATCCCCCATGATGCACTTTGGCAGAAAGACCTGGGCGTCCACTTCCCAAAGTTTGCAGCCATGATGGAGTGCAGCTCTGCCCTGACATGAGTGGACGCCAACTGGACCCCCGCCGCCGGTTGTGGTTTATTCTCTAACCGGGGCTAGTGGGGCCTGTTAGCCCTGTCCTCTCCAATAGCCCGAGGTCATGACCCCAGCCAGGCAGGTCATGGTTGATGGGCTTCATCCAAATCCCCCAGACCCCAGTTGCAGGGGGCTGGGTGGGGGTCGCGTGTGAGACTGCTGGGGTCCAAAGCCCCTGGCAATGAGGACAACCACAGTGACTCCAGATGGCTCCTCTCAGGCCGAGGACCTTTGTGACAGCCTGTGCGGTGAGTCTTATGGACAGGGGAGGACCCCAGGTGCCAGGAGGGATGTGACCTTCTGAAGTTCCTCATCCCCTGCCTCCCCAACCCCAGAACGTCCTGAGTCACAGGAGCCCTTTCCTCCTTCCTGTTCCCTCGTGTTTGGTGGAAAATAAGGAATTTCCCAAGAGGAATTTTACCAGGGAAGGAAAGGGACAACGTGCAAGTGGGAAGATGGGTGGAAAGGGCAGAGCTGGAGCAGCTCCAGAGGAGACAGACATCTGCCTGCCACCGCTGGCCTGGCGTCAGGGAACCTTGACTCAGTTCTGAGGGGACTGGGCGCTTGACCCAGCCACTCAGACTTCAGCCTGGTAGGAGTCCCAGTGTCTTTGGGATGTGCTAAGCCAGGCCTGGGCGCCTCCTCCTCACCCTTAGAAATCAGGTGGAATACACACTGGACTCGGGCTAGCCCTGATCCACACTGCCCCTCTGTGCCCCCTTCCAGCCTCCACCCCCTTTCTGCCATCAGACAGCGTCCACTGACTGCCCAACCCCTGAAGCCCATGTGACCTCACCCGCAGTTTCCTCCAAGACCTCTGGGTTTAGTGAAGGGCTTGGGGGAGGGTGTGGTGGAGGGAGGGGGGGCGGAAAACAGTCCGAGTGAGGTACTAATGCAACGGTGCACACAAACAGCATTGAGAAGACGTGCACCCCTCTAAGTGCCCGGAGAAAGGGGAAGGTAAGCAGGTTGAACCTGCGTCACAATCTATGGGGATTCCCTGGACTCCTTTTACAACGTTCCTGCACTTTTCCCCAAACTTGGTACTTCCGATCAAAACAAAGGAGTTATTAAGATAAAAAATTATCAAAAAGAAGAAATCCAGTCAGTACAGAGCCATGGAGAGCCTGTTGACAGGGCCGGAAGGCTATGTGGAGGTGTGCGTGTGGGGAGAGGGTGTGGCACGGGATATGGGGGGTGGGCTGGGGGAGAGAGAGTAAGGACCCAGTCCAGGGAAGCCTGTTAACCGACCTATCGACCCCCCAGACACTCGCCGTGCCCGCTGAGCTCCTGCAGGTCGCCTTGGGCCTCTGCTTCTGCAGCAGTGCAGCACCACGATGCCAAGCACGGCCAGGCCTCCCCGGCCCCTGCCAACTCCCAGGAGAATGGCTTCCAGATTTCGCTCGCAGTTGGTTTCCAACAACACCCACATGGTTCACGACAGCCCAGGCCCTCGCCGTCCAGGACCACAGGTGCCAAGACCCAGGCTGGCCCGGGTGACCTCTTCCTGTTGCCTGACCAAGCAGGGGGCCCTGCTCCTGCCGTGACTCGCGGTGTCCGTTTCCAGCCCAGAAAGTAGAAAAAGAGGTGGCTGGTTCAGAGCTACTCCCTCGAGGCAAGGAGCCCTCCAGGCCTCCGGAATGTTCTGTGCTCCTGTTCACCGTCCTTTGGCTTACTGCCCCCCTCAGCTTTCAGGTTCCAGGCAAGAGGCTCACGACTTGGGTGGGGGGACTCTGCTGATCACCCCACCTGGCCAAGGGCAGTATCGGCTTTTGTGCTCAGCCCCCGTGTAATGCATCAAATCTGCCCCGTCAGCATAAGAACAGACTGGAGTGGCTAGGTTACCTGGGCTCAAGTCCTGGCAAGCCCCCTTCCTAACCCTGTGACCCCTGGGCGAGCGACTCCCGCCTCTGTGCCTCCATTTCTTCATTTGCCACGGAAGGGGCAGTAATCCCAAAGAGGCCTTGCTCACTGACATCGAGCCGATGTGACTCACAGCCAGCCCACAGCGCAGGGAGGAAGTGCTGCCTTGCCTTTCAGAGACTGTAACTCATTACAGGAAGTGAGAAGCCCGTCTTCCTCCCAAGGAGTGACCGGTCGTCTTGAACTGCCAACCTTGCATTGAGCAGCTCAACGTGTAGCCACGACGCCACCAGGGCTCAGACAGGATAAAATTATCAGACCCACGGCAAGGAGCCCTGGTGGCGTCGTGGCTATGATTTGGGCTGCAAACTGCAAGGTCAGAAGTTTGAAACCATGAGCTGCTCCTTGGGAGAAAGGCGGGGCTGGCTACTCCCACAAAGAGTTAGTCCCAGAAACTCACAGGGGCAGTTCTACCCCATCCTGCAGGGTCGCTATGAGTCGGCATGTACTCGACGGCCGTGAGTCTGGTTTTCTGGCCCACAGGCACTGCTAGAGTTGTGCCAGCTTTGCCTGCTTCTGCGCCGCCGCGTTCACTGTCTGTCTGCCCCACTGCCCCCTAACTGAGCCCAGAGGGCAGGAGCCGGGTCATGGATCCTTGTATCTCAGGACTGAGCGAGGTCAGGCTGCCAGAGGCTCGCACGTGTGACATGGGGGTGGGGGTGGGAGGGGTGGGGGGGTGGGGTTGACCGGAGGCAGAATGCTGGGGTAGCAACAGCGAGGGGCAGAGTTTGAATCTCCAGCCTGTCATGAACTCTGAGTGAACCTTGGGCAATGAGGTCCTTTCCCTGCGTGAGCCTAGGTTGTCCTTTCTAGAGTGACATGGGGACTGACCATGCTGAACACAGGAAGGCCCCCCACAGGCACCAAACTCGCACCTCCCCCCTCACTGTCCAATCCCTACCTGCCCCCGCCTCCAGCTCTAACTGTATTCTGTATTCTTTATCATCCCATCCCCCAAACCTGCCCCTGGACCCTGCCTGTGATCTGCCCTCACCTTGCGTCACCACCTTGCCGAAGACGGGCAGGGAGTCGAGCGTGGAGCAGTTCCAGCGCCGGTTCCGGAACTGGTACTGGCACTCCTCGATGGCCAGCTGGGCGCCGCGGCGCACCGAGTCCATGACCTCCCAGTTCCGCTTGCACATCTGCACCTGCCTCTGGATCAGCCCCTTCAGCTTCTCACAGGTTTCCTCCTCGGAGATGCTCCCCACCGATGACAGCTTGGCCAGGTACCTGGGGGACACGAAGTTGGGCGGTGGGGTGAGAGCTCCCTGCACCCGGCCTGTGGGCACCTCGACCCGTGTCTGGGAGTGACCAGTCCCAACGCCCAGCCCTGGCATGCTGCAGGAAGGCTCTGGTCTCCAGGCAGCAGCACCCCAGCCATGGACCCCCCGCCCCTGCCCTAGAGGGTGTCCGCTCCGCAGTCTGTCTCTCTGTGACTAGAACCCAACAGCCCATGGGCTTTTGCCCTTCCTGGAGCAATGCCCTGTCCCTGGGGGTCTGGAACCCCTGTTTGTTTTCCCCTCCCCATTCCAGGGCCCTGGTGACCTCAGGCCCCCTCTGGCTACAGTGAATTCATGATCCTCACTGCCAGCCGTGTCCAGGACGGAGCGGGCAGGACGGGGTTCCTGCAGCCCCGGGGGCTGAGGGTTGGGAGGGGGTAAACACAGGTGTAAGGGGCTCTCAAGGGTAAAGTTTGCTATGCACCCCCCTCCCCTACCCCGAGCTTCATAGCCTGACAGCAGGGCCCAGGATGCCTGGCCCACCTGGTAGGGCTAGTGTCACAATCCAAATGACCGCGCCTGTAAAGGCGCCCTGGGGCCAGGCTGGCCCCTGCACTGGGGCTGCAAACGCTCCAGTTCTGGTGGAGGGTAGGTGAGAGTGCACAGTTTGGCCAACGCCCAGAATGGTGCTACATTCCTCGCAGGGACAGCACGTTGTCCTGCTGTACCCCAACCACACACCTGTGAGTGGTAGCTAGTCTCCTCGTTTTATAGATTCTGAAATGGAGACCCAAGGGGTCACAGAGAGCCACACATTAGCTCTCAGACCTTCCCCTTAGTGCAGGGGAAGGGACCCAGGAGGCCTGAAGTCTGAGTAACTGCCCAATGGGAAAAGAGCAGCCCCCATTAACTGAGCACTCGCTTTCCAGAGAGGCCACGTGCCTGGCTCCTGGGCTCCCACACGAAAAGGCAGTCTGGGCTGGAGTTGGGGTTTATACGGCTCTCGCCAGGGAGGGCCAGGCACAGAGACACGGGAGGGCCGGCTGGCAGTGGAGGGAGCCCTGCCCCTTTCCCTCGCGCCCAGCCCAGCGGGGATGCGTCTGTGCCTCGCTCACTCACGGCCAGGCTGGGCTCTTGGATGAAAGCAGAGTTGAGAGAATGACAGACCTGCAGATTTTTCTCTGACAGGTGTTTGGCTCAGGCCCCTCGTTTTACAGGTGAGCACCCTGGGGCCCAGAGAGGGAATAGGGCCTTCCTGCAGCCTCCTGGGAGAAAGCTGGGACCCTGGCTCTCCCGTAGCTTTAGCTTCTCAGGCGACTGCCCTGCTGGAGGAGTCCGCAGGGAACTAGACCCTCAGTGGTTGGGTCCAGCAACCTCGGCCCCCAGGCAGGATGCTGCTGGATAGTCTTGCCTCTGCCTATGGCAAGGGGCTGTTGTCAGAAGCCAAAGGGAGGGGGAAAAAGAGGAGCTGACACCAAGGGCCCCATAGAAAGTAAATGTTTAGAAACGAATGATGGAAACATATGTACAAACACGCTTGATAGAATTGATGTATGGATGGTTCTGAGAGCTGTAAGAGCCGCCAATAAAACGATCTTTTAATTAAAAAAAAAAAAGCCAAAGGGCTCCTGTGGGCAGAAGCTGGGTGGACGAGGAGCCCGAGGCCCCTCGCCGGAGCACAGACTTTGCCGAATGAAGCAGCGACCGAAGGAAAGTCCGCAGAGACCGAACATGGAGACACTTCTCTGACCGTGGTAATAAGGACAGCCGCACTTTATGGCCCTGAGCAGAAACCAGGCTACTTGCATGATTGATTAATCCTCTCAGCACTCCCATTTTTACAGTGGGGCAAACCAAGGCACGACCAGGTCAACGAATTGTGTGTGAGGTCCCACAGGGGCGAGGGGAGAGGCCAGTGTTGGAGCCTGACTTCACAGCCTTTGCTGGAGACAGACTAGAACTGGGACCAGAGGGCTGCCGCAGAGGGCCGGGGGGAGGGGTCCCCTAAGGATGTGGGCCAGGGTGGGTTGCTGGGACCGTGCCGAGGCTCCCAGGCCTGGCATGTTGGCTTGGCCCGAGTGACAGTTCAGTGCATCAGGAGCGTGTGTGGTTTGCTGAAATGACAGAGGCCTGGGCCCTTCCTTTCCCAGCTAGCTGCCCGACTGAGTGGGAGACGGGAGGTGGGAGGCAGGCGACAGAATTCCTGGTCTTTTCTACCAGGTCCTGCCCAGAGTTGGGGGGGTGGGAATGCGGAGGTCCCAGCCTCTCCAAGGGAAGACTGAGGGGCTGGTCAGGGGCCCCCACTTCCTGGGCTGTCTCTTAGGGAGCCAGTC